AAACAGACACACACATACAGAGACAGTCTTCGAAGTTGACATATAACCCTAACTAATCAAATAACTTTATACTTAATCATGTTGAGTTATTGCTCTGATAATGTTTCTTATATGACGAACTAAAAGCTTAGCATATTTTTTACGGGAATTAAAGAGATTTCCTCAAATTGGCGTCAACATTATTGTTCCAGAAAAGTCAATAAACAGGTGATTAAGAGAAGTTCGCCTTTTAGTGTAATCGACCTTCGACTCCTATCAATAAACACTTTCATTCATAATGATAGTAAACTCGACAATAAATTTTAATTAATGTAAAATGACTTAATAAATCCGTGTGTTTGTGTATTTAGCATTTGAGGAATTTAATAAATTGATATGCCTTAAAAAGAAATTTGGAATTTTTCTTTGTCATTTTTAATGAGAAACTCTAATTTAAATATCATTGTAACTATAATTGAAGATCTTTTTAATCATTTTTCCTATCAAAATTTATAATAACGTAAATAAAAGTATTTAATAGGTTCTGAGTGACTCTAAATTAACCACACATATTATGAATTTTTTAATAGTTAAATTGCAAGGCTAAAAAAATATAACTGCGATGAGTATCTATTTTAAAGTGACTCTTTGCTTTTGATCATTTATAATATATTCTTACAATCTTCCTTTGTCAAATGTTCTCTAATTTGATGTTAATTCTTGATCATTCTTGCGACTTAAAAAGTTATTATTACCAGAATCCTAACCGTTAAATATTTTCAATTTCTATCGTAAATAAAAACTATATAAAATATAAAATAAATAATTAAATTTATGAAAACTATGTTAACACAGTACTATTTGCTTATTTAAGTTTATTATTCTTGTTCTTTTAGTTTTCCTCTTATCTATCTGTGTTGCCGGTTTCGATCTGCCATATTTGCCTTCTACGCTCGACTTGTTATTCATGATTTTTTTCAATTAGCGAGGTAGTGTAGAGCGTGTCAGAGTCAAAAATTTTAATTATAAATTGTAAAAATATGCTCTAAAATATTTTAGTGCTATATCATGCTGACAATCAGTATTCGTACAGATATTTGCTATTTCCTTACATCGTAACGCTTTTTATTATTAATCTTGATTATGAATAGCGCGGTAATGTGCAATGAAATCAGATGGTGATGATATTTCTTACCAGAATACTGTTTCTAAAATGGAACCAAGCAATATAAAATCTAGGCCTACAAAGTCCACTACAAATCAGCTGGAATTCATTAAGAAAAGTGTGGTCGGTGCTCTCCTTAAGGAGAAGATTTCTTGGCCCTTTTCTAAACCTGTTGACCACCAGAAGCTTAACCTTCCTGTAAGTTAGATATTTTTGGTAATGTCAGGATTATCCCAAAATTATTAAGTATCCGATGGATCTCGGAACTTTGAAGCAAAGACTTAACCTTAAATTTTACCATTCGTCCTCTGAATGTCTTGATGACCTTTGGACTATGTTCCGAAATTGTTACGTCTTTAACAAACCCGGTGATGATATTGTTGCCATGGCAATAAAGCTCGAACAGATTGCCAGGGAACGATTGAAGCATATGCCAACACCAGAAATTGAGATCAATGGTCAGAAGTCGAGACCTGTGTCTTCAGCTCCCACTAATGTCTCTACCGATTCTAATATGTCCGTTGTCCAGTCCAACCACATAGAGGATTCTATTGTTAATGAAGTGCCTCAATCTATCCCTCAAAACCCCCCCGTCCAAGCTCCTCCTACATCCATTGCCAAGAAACCTGTAAAGAGAAAACATGAATCCGTTCTCGATGAATTACCCGCTACACCTCACTCTTCTGATGAGAGTAAGCCCCTACAATTATTTGATAACTTCGCAGAGCGGAGCGTGGGCAAGAGGCTACGGCTAACGGAGTCTCTTAAAGCGTGTAGTAATCTTCTTAAAGATCTTTCGTCTCAGAGATATCGCGTAAGTCTCTGTGTATCTTTATTTCTGTAAGGATCTCAATCATCTCTTCCTTAAGCCAGTGGATGCTGCCGCCTTAGGATTATATGATTATCATGATATCATTAAATGCCCTATGGATCTTGGTACAATGAAGCTAAAACTCGAGAATGGGCAGTATCACTCGAAGCATGAGTTTGCAGAAGATATGCGCCTAATGTTCCTAAACTGCTACAAATACAATGGGGAGGAGAGCGATGTTGCGAAAATAGGAAAAGCTCTCCAAGCCACCTTTGAAGAGCACTATAACAAGTTACCCGATGATGAGCCTGAGGGT